ACACACACTGAGAGAGAAGAGAGTAGGTATCTGTCTGTTTGTCCCTTAGTTGACGGACAAAAGGCTGAGTCTCTGAAGTGAGAATGGCTACAGAAAAGCCCCCAGCTTTACTGCTCTGCCCTGTAGCCTGCTGTAGGCTTTCACCCAGAGCTGTGCCAAGAAAGGCAGTGCTTGCTAGCATGTTTGTCTTGCAACTACAGATGGGAAACTCCCTAATTTCTATGACAGAGAGAGATTTTTTGTCAACACCCAATGAAAAGGTGTGATTTATCAATGACAGTCGAGCGTCTCTATGTTCTTTGCTGACATGGTGGCAGGACACTAGGAGTGAAGAGAGAAACTAGTGCCAAGTTCTTCCCTGTTCTGTCAGGACAGAGGTGGCACACTGGTGAATACTTGCCTATACTGTTTGTGCCAACACTTTGAGGATGATGCTGGGGACTGGGAAATTAGCGAATTCACTACTAGCCACTAAGGTTCTTCTCCTATGCTCTCCTACACCAATTATTATTAACAAAATCTCGTATTACTCTAATGCGTGCTTAATAGTTTGCCACCCAGGGTCAAGACGTTGAACCAAAATCACTTTTTTTATCTTCCAGTATCCCAGATGTTACAGTATTGTCGAAAGGAGTATAAATGAGACAAGGATTTGGGGCTGTATCTTTGAGAGGGGAAATAATGGCATCCCAGATGATTATTTACTACACTCTTGCAATCACAAATGCCCAGGGAATGCCAGTTTCACATTGAGGCCCCTGGCTTAACGCATCAGGCATTAAATGCATGAACATTTCTTTAGTGCTGCTTAGCTGAAGTTTATCACGGTCATTCTGCCATTGCCTAGCAACTTGAGAAGGCTCTCAATGGGCTCTTTGTCCCCAGTCCTGGCAAAAACAGTCCTTTGCAGATCTCCTTATCAGCATTGGACAATTTATCAGGAAGAAGTGCTTCCACTGAACGAAACTGCCTGCAAATCTGAACCTACTCTCTCTTCCCATCTGCCCCTTCTCCTCCTCCCTCAATATTTTAGGAATCATTTCCTGAAGCAACTAGTTTCTAAGTTATTAATCTGTTCTTTGGGGGACATAACAAAGACATTGTCTTAGGGTATCTCATTATTTTTCTATTTTCCTTTAGTTGGGGTAGTAGTTCCCAGCCCACAAACGTTTGCCTTCCTGATTCAGGAAGGAAAGGGTGCTTGCACACATGAGGACTTCTTGCTCTGGCTTCTGTCCTCTCAGGCCCCCCCATTCAGGGCAAGTGTGCTCCTGGTGCTCACTGGCCCACACTCTCTCTGCAAACACCCTCACAGACACAGTGAAGGCATCCCCTCTCTTAACCTAGGTACATCAGCACCCAGAGCCAAGCACTCCACTCCATGTGTGTTAGTTCCTGGACAGGGCAGCCAGGCTCTCTCGCTGTCACAGCTGACGTGATGAGTTGCTTTGGATAGGCTAAGGAACACAGAAACTTTCCACCTGCATCTTCTCCATCTGACTAGCATTTTTCTTATCTTGTGGTTGGTTTTCTTCGGTGCCTTCTCATTTTTTTTCTCACCTTTCACCTCAATAATCTCAACCCGTCGTCATCTAACTTTTGGTCTTCAGGACTCATCTTTACACACCATTATCGCCTCTCCTGTAAAATGCAAATTTATCTAGGCCACCCCTCATTTGGTCTCTGCTAACATGGTATGGCAGGTGGGGAGAAAGGGTGGGAGACATATGGGATGATGACATTCTCCTTCCACAAGATGGTGCTCTTAGCTATTCTCCAAGGATTCCTCCACACGCTTGACTTGACTATTTTTGGTTCCTAAGTTCCAGATGTTCCCAACTTTGGGAATCCCTGAAGGATCTCTGCATACTTCTCAGGACTCTCCATCTTGTAGTTGTTCCCTTAGCCTAGAACTGTCTTCCCTCTTTCGTTGATCACTGGACAGAGCTGCGGTGCAGCTTGGGCTTTATACGCTGGTGTTAACTTCTTTTGGAGACTATCTCACCCACAAGCCAGCACTGGCCAGACTCTTAGAAGGCATATTGACTTAAATTATTTTTCATCTTTGGCAAGTAAGGAAATAAAAATATGTTTCTTAGAGCTCTATCAAAGCCGGCAAATGTGAGAGCAACAGAAATGATGAGACTATGGGGGTGTTAAAGCAAACTCACAGCTCTTTCAATGCCTCTTTATCTTGGAGCATGTCTCATTGCAGGGCTGTCCTTATACAGCTCACACCCCAACCTGACACCAGGATGTGAGCAAAGAAACACTTAGCCAGGACCTGAGTCAGGCACTGTAACAAAATGTAACAAAATGATGGGTCAATCACATGAAACATGGCCTTCCTTTCGTTCTCTCTTTCTCTCTTTCCTTCTTTTCCCCAATGGATCTCCTTGCTATCCCATGTTGCTTTTCACTTACCAGAAAAAAATTACCTTGATAAAGTTGGTCCTAACAGATAGGTGTGCTATCAAGCTGGAGAAATCTCTTGAGGGGAGAAGAATCAAATACCACGCATAGGATGACTTAATTTAGATCTGACCTTCAGTCATTTTCGGTAACTAGCTCTGTGTGCCTATCCACAAGTCATGATAACCTACAATCTTGAAAGCCAGTGTGATGGTTATTCTTGGTTGTCAACTTGACAACATCTGGAATGAACTAAAACCCAAGTGGCTGGTGCACCTATTTTTTTCTTAATGAAATCATTTCAAGTGAGAAGACCCACTTTTATTATGGACCCTATTTATTTTGTGTACAAAAGTGTAGTCAATCTTGAATAAAGTTTTATTAGCCTCTGGGGGTGGGGGGGGAGACATGGAAGAAGGGAGAGCTTGCTCTTTGCCTGCTTGCCCTTGCTCTCACCAGCAAGCTCATTTCTTCACTGGCGTTAGAGCCTGCTTCTTTGGGATGAATGTGTATTCATCCAGCTTTGTGAACTGAACAATTGGATTCTTGTACTTTCTGCTAGGAGACAGCCACTGTGAGAATAGCTGGAACAAAACCTGTAAGCCATTCTAATAAATACACACACATCAGAGATTTGTTATACATATATAATACACACATAACATATCATAGAATGATATATGATTCTATCAGTTCTCTTTCCCCGAGAGAATCCTAATCCAGCTAATATATACTTTTAACTGGAAGTGTACTCCATCTCATTATGGCTGAATTTTAGTGTTATAAAGTTTGATCAATAGTTGATAAGGTAAGTCACCGTAAATGGCGAAGTCTCACCCCTTAAGCCACACTACACATAAAAAAAAAGTATTAAGAAATCAGAACTAGTTTTCAGGATGATTATAAGGTTAGATGGGTGATTATGCAGGCTCAATTTCCTCAGGCTTCTCATTGAGATTAGCCTGAATGGCTCTGGGTCAAAATGCCCAGGGACGTCTGAATCTATGAAGCAGGTGGCCTCTTACTAACTTGGCTGTCACACAGGAGCCCTGCCTTACAGTGAAGATGGAAAACCTGAGTTCCTATTGAGAGGGACGCCCCAGGCAGGTTACCCTCGTTAGTATTTTCTTCAGACACAAAACAAAAGCTTACATTTTCAGCTTGCTCCTGAGCTCACGGCTGCTCTGAATGTCTGATTGGTCCTGTGAGGTATTAGGTATTGGTTTAAAAATAATCCATTGAGGCTCCATGACTGAAGCCTCACACCCAGTGAGTGTAGAACTTGCAAATATTTCTCAGCTTCCCAAAAGACCTTGAAAAGGAAGATATGTGAGAACACAAGAAAGAACATAGGGCCCACATTTTATTTACTTATCCTGTAAGGGATGTTTAGACCCTAATCAGTCTTATATCCACAAGTAGTTTCCTCTGGAATAAAAGTCTGTTCCTAACCTGAATTGGACACAATGGGGTTGTGCCTCCTTGGCCAGCTTTTGCCATGCTAAGGACTTTCTGGAAGATGGACACAGGGTCAGGAACAAGCAGAGATCTATTATTTTGCAGAAATAGCTTTATACCAGCTGGTGACATGCTTGTGGTCATTTACAATGACTTCCATGTTAGGCTCAGGGCCCAGTAACTTTTGGGGGTTGGGGATGTCAAATGTGGTGCGACCTGCCTGGCATCCTCCAGGGAGGGTCGCTGTGAGCTCTCGGGAACACTGGACTGAGTGTGTCCTCAGGGCACTCTTACTCGGTGTGGGCCCAGCAGTCACGGGTACAGCTCTAGTTAGAACTTTTTCCTCCGCAGGTGAAGGTCTCTGAGAATTACCACATAACAAAGGGATCCCCCTTGTAATTCAAAGACGAACTGATGAAGCTTTCCTGCTCCTCCAGTAATGCCTGCCTTTATTTTCATTCTCAGAGACTTAGTTTCCTCTAGGTCCCTGTTTATAGGTTCACGACTGATTTAGGGTATCTTTACTTCCCAAATAAAACGTTAAGTAGCTCCGTATAATTTCATAATCGTGATCTAGAACAAAAGTACGTAGATGGCATTGGCGGGGATGTTCTGCTTCTATCTGTCCAAGGTGACATCAACATTTTAAGGATGAAGGTCGTGACGTGACACATGAGTGCATCAGCTTACCCCAGCACAACAGATCTTTGAAATATTTTAGGATTGTGTTTGCCATTCCCCAGTAGGGCTTTCTTCATATGAAAGAATTTAATCATTCCAAGCTTTGTCTGATTATTGTACACTCTGATCATTTCTCTGTGAAAACAAAGAGTGGGGAGGGGGGAGTAGAGCATCAATAGTATATATATGTATATATATATTTATAAATTTTACCTTAAAGAGACAGAGCCCTGGGGCTTCCTATTGCTTTCCTCAACTGTGTAGGAGGGAGTCCTGGGTTACTAGATAACATTAGGTATGTGTGTGTGATGACAGCTGGATGTGAGCCTGGTGTCCTCTCTGCACGTTGTTGTCTGCGGTCCTTGCTTTTACACCGTTCTTGATCCCTGTGATTGTATTGGCACCCACAGTGCACCTCGCTCACCCCTGCCTTGTGTGTGATGTTCCAGGTGTGCACTGTGACAGCGTGTGCGCCGAGGGGCGCTGGGGCCCTAACTGCTCGCTGCCCTGCTACTGTAAAAACGGGGCTTCGTGTTCCCCCGACGACGGCATCTGTGAATGTGCACCTGGATTTCGAGGCACCACTTGCCAGAGAAGTAAGTGTCTCCTCGGTGATGGTTTCTGGCCCCATTTTTCCTGGGAGTTATGTACAGAACCATCTCTTAGTTTCTAATGGCGTTGTATAGCTGTCAAGGGCAGGGGAGTCATTCAAGAACTGTCCTCAAATAACACTCCCCTCAAGAACTTTGTTCTTCTCAGCCTCTAGGACTAACTTAACAGATGGGGCGCTTAACCCTTTCTTCTTAGTCATGATTCATTACCTCATTGGCACCATCGTCAGGCTACGATTCTTATTTCTTCCTTAGTGTGTGCAAATGGCGATCCAGAAATCCACTGACCTGTAAATATTTTATTCGGCAATTTGGCATCAGCTTCACCTCAATTACCGGAAGTCAACATCAGCCAAGCCTTGAGGCAATCACACATCTCACTAGTAATCTGAAAGTCAATGCTGTGGGGAAAGCAGAATTGAAAGTTAAAAATGGGGACTGTTGGCACTGTTCCCAAGAAGCCTCCGATTAAAAAATGATTTGTAACATTTTACTAATTCTTTTGGTAATGAAGTCAGAAAAGAATATGTGACCGCTCATAACATACACTGTTGTAATTTCTCAAATCAATTGCTTTTTCCACCAAAAAGTTCAATGCAATCAGTCATTCTACATTTAAATCCAAATAAAGTCTTTGGAAGCATCCAAATATGTAGAGTTCTGTTTACCCACTCTCTCTAATCATAATTAGCCTGTAGTTTTTGAAAGACAAAGATATTAAATTTTGAATGTTTATCATTTTTTTGTCAATCTTGGTTCTTAAAGTCAACAAATGAGTTTGGTAATACTTAATTGAAATATTAATATTTAGAGTGTGATTTTTTTTTTTTTGGTTCCTTATTTGTTCAGCAAAAAGTCTTTGAGCCTCTGGTCTAGGACGAGCTTTGAGCCAACCACAGGAAGATAGAGTAGTCAGCTGAGACATTGCCTAGCTGAAGGGAAATTCATAGTTTAGTGGCTTCTTTCCTTGTTAAAAGCTGCCCTTCTTGTTCCATGCCTGAAAAATTCTCATTATCTTTTTTCTTTTTTAAGTTTTCTCATTTCTCCATTTTAAGTAGACCTCTGTGTGGAACAGGAGATAAACCCAACTCAGAAACCTAACTACGAGTTTCCGTTCTATTTGCAGTCTGCTCCCCGGGTTTTTATGGGCATCGCTGTAGCCAGACGTGCCCACAGTGTGTGCACAGCAGCGGCCCCTGCCACCACATCACAGGCCTGTGCGACTGCTTGCCCGGATTCACGGGTGCCCTGTGCAATGAAGGTAAGTACCCGAGCAGCCTGGAGAGTCCGGGGGTGGGTGGGGGAGGGCTGGAGATCAAGCTTCCTGAGGTCTGCTCTCAGACTTCCCCAAGGCCACACGTCCCGCTATCATCAGCTCTAGGTAAAGGGCTGATGACACAAACATTGGAAGCACTGCCTTGTCACAAAGCTCTCGGGGCCCTTGGCTGTGTCCTATGGTTTCATCGGAACCATCCCCATCGTGAAAAGCTGGTGTGGGAAATCATTGTGACTCCCTGAGTGACTCTCGGAGTCAGATTTCTACACACACCACAGTGACTTTTTGAGACGCCAGGATGAAGCCTTTGGCCTCCTGTGTTGGTAAAAATAAGCCCACCTTGGATTAGGGTTTGTGCTCTCTCAAGCTGAGCCAGTCAGGCAGGCAGTGGGCAGCTGCGTGTGACCCCCAAAATTGTTTCCTGTTTTCAGGGTTCTGTGAGGCGGGTTCCAACTATTGCTGACTAAACTTCGGTTTATTCGCAGTGTGTCCCAGTGGCAGATTTGGGAAAAACTGTGCAGGCGTTTGCAGCTGCACCAACAATGGCACCTGCAACCCCATCGACAGATCCTGTCAGTGCTACCCAGGTTGGATTGGCAGTGACTGCTCCCAGCGTAAGTCTTGTTGGAGAACAGCCGATTGAGTTCTAATGTCTTAGTGTTGAATGCTGTGAGTTTATGTGACCAGGAAAGAATACATATGACCATCCCCATTTATGAAATGTATTGTAATTTTTAAACTAAGAGCTTGGTGCGACGGCCTATGAATATCTACCAATGGATGTGGCTCTTTGGGAAAAACCTAAATTTGTAAAATTTTTTCTTATTCAATATTCAATGACTAATCCTCCATTGATTTATATTTATATGTATATTAATAAATGTATATATATATATATATGTGGTTGGCTAGTCATTGATTATATAACAAGGCTTCATGTAGCCATGGCTGGTCTCAAACTTATTATGAAGTCTAAGATGACCTTGAACTTCTGCTCTCTTTGCCTCCATCTCCTGGGTGCTGGAATTACAGATGTACACAGCCGTACTTGGTTTTATTCAGTGCTAGGAACTGAACCCCAGAGCTTCAGGGGTGCTAAGCAAGCACAGTCCCAACTGAGCTACATCTCATTCCTATTATAATTGATCTAAAACAAAAATAGATGTACTTAGAGATCTATTTCTCGTCATGTATTCGTCTGAACATTTAATTATGGGACTATGAAGAAGTAGAATCAAAGTGACGTAGAAACTTTCTAAGCTCCTGGACACACTGACTCTTTTACTGCAGCTCACATCTTGTCCTCTGCCATGGCTTCTCCAGGTGCCTTTCATACTGCTCTTCAGATGAACAGTATAACCCTAAGAGGAATTATGTCGGTGATTTTAGATGTCTTGTGCCATGAAAAGACAGTGACCAGCAGCCAAACCATCTATCTATCTATCTATCTATCTATCTATCTATCTATCTATCTATCTATCTATCTGTATGTTTGTCTGCCCTTCTTTTCTTCATTACAGCTTTCATGACCCATGCTCACTTCACATTAAAACCAACATGGTACACATATAATAGGTCAAGGAATGAGTCCTATTCTACATGGCAGTTTGCTGGCCATTGAATTCAGACTCTAGCATTTTATAATCAATCTATAAATACTAATTAGTGAGGAATATATCTTTGTCTGAATGTTAGTTTTGTTTTCAGTCATTTAGGCTGTCTCTCATTTATGAGATGAAAAAGCCTTTGGTAAGAGGAATGTTTGTTGTTATAGATAATTTTATAGTATGTGTTTTCATCTATTTGGGGGTGGAATTTCAGAAGCAATTGCCATCTATTCAAATCTGTGAGCTGCAGGCTTCTGACCGACTCAGGTTGGCACAGGAACAGGTTGAGAAATAGGTACCGAAAATGAACGACACAGCCTAGGAGAGAAAACAAAGACCCGATGTCATTGCTGGAACATGATTAGTATAATTTGCTCCTTTAAAATGTCTTCTTTATTTTGGAAGTTGGTCACTTCCTCATTTGGAGGAGGAATGTGCTGGAAGGAACAAAAATGGGAACAGCACTGTGAATGGAGACAATAGCATGGCCTGTCCCCATAATCACTCCAGAGGAAACTGATTTATTTGGCAAGCCTTGCTTCTCCTGGGGATCATTGGTTTCATTGATTCCCTATGGTCTCTGTGGACCCATCTTAATATTTCTTCTTGGCTGGTTATCGGCTAGTTTCAAAGGAGGAAAGTCCTTCACCATGCAAGCAGAGATTTTGAAAATTAATGGAGTGCATTTAAAAGGGCAGGTGTCCTTGGCAAAACGACTATCGAAAGCCTTATCTCTATACTTATCTTTGGAAATGGACTTTGAACGATCTTTATTTCCAGCCTTTGATCACAACCAACATGGGGAATAAAGCCTGTTGCAAGTGGCCAACTTTGAAAATTATGTTCCGGGGCAAAAGATAGTTCATGAAAGTTTACTAAGCATCATTCGAAGTCGTTTTCTTGGGGCTAGAGATAGTTTTGTGTGGTTTCCAGCTCTTGCCGAATCCTGAGGGTCAGAGTTTGGACCCTAGAGCCTTCTAAACAGGGCGAGGGGGGTGTTCAATGACACTTGTGCCCTCTGCTGATATCCACGCAGACATAGGTGTGCATACCTGCACATATATTACACGGACACTCACAGAGACACATAAACACAGCTAAAACAAGGAAATGTACAAAGGAAATTGGGTAGAAAAAGACAAATTGGATTTATGCTCTTTTTTTTTTTAGAAGCAGGTTTTGAGGGTAGAGAGTTCTATATGCAGCATGGGGGGGGCAGGGAATGGGCATTTTAGCCTCACTGTGGAGCCTCAGGGGGAAGCCATACTTCAGATACCAAATAATGACTATCACCGGGAATCCGTGTGACCTTGGACAAGATCCCTTTCCCCACTAATGAACCAAAACTTCCTCACCTGTAAAATAAGGAAACACACACACACACACACACACACACACACACACACACACATCCTAATATTCCTGAGGTCCAGAACAGTGCCAGGTACACGGTAGATGTCATTGGTTTAACAACTGAATCTTTAAGAGTAATTCTTGCTCCCTCAAGTTCTTCTGAAGCTGTTAATGTGTGTCTGTGTCAGTAACGATGGTAGCTACTGCGACCAGCTTTGCCCTGTGGGGTTAGCGTGGAATTTTGCATCTGAAGTGAATTGTGAGCACACTGTCTCTATTGCTGGTGTTAACCCAACACATAGAAAGAGGCTGGGAGAATGTTCTGTTTGGTGCTGACCTGGGGACTCCAACTCATGTCTCCGCACTTGCTTGGTTTCAGCCTGTCCGCCCGCCCACTGGGGTCCGAACTGCATCCACACCTGCAACTGCCACAATGGAGCCTTCTGCAGCGCCTACGATGGGGAGTGTAAATGCACTCCCGGATGGACGGGGCTCTACTGTACTCAGAGTAAGCCAGGGGCCTTTGGAGGGGAGCCGCACCCACGGAGGAAAGAGCCTCCCTGTCTGTGTGCATCAGGTTAGCTCAGTGAGGGCTTCTTCCAAGCCCATGTCACCTACTCCATGGCCTCTAGGGAGCTACCTTCGTCCGAGTGCTTGAGAAGTCCCACATTCCAGGTACCCCTCGGCTAGTTTATGTTAGGACCAACTCCAAGTGCCTGGGCCCCACCCCACAGGGTCTGATTCAGCGTGCCTGGACCAGGAACTGTGAATTTGCCTTTCTGTTCCTTGGAGGTAATATCAGCTCAGGATCACGTTTTTAAAACTATTCCTTCGGTTCTTACTCCTAGCTTGTATCTCATACTGCAACACCTTGTAGAGCAAAAACATTGTGGAGCAGTGCCCTATTGCTTCCAGCTGAACGAAGGAGACACACAAGGAAGACATTTATTATGGATATTATCAATAGTAACATAACTTCAAAGGATGACCATGTTGAGGAAAAGAGATGAGTTAGAAAGTAGGTAATTCCTGTCTAGTACTAACTTGTAAGAATAATAGAGAAGAGATGGAAGAAGACTTCTAGAAATTTCTAGCAGTAGGGATGGCTATTGACCTAAGAGTTGAAAGACATAATTGTCAAGGACAAATTTGAAAGCTATTCTCCAAGGATTGTGCATCCATAAAGATGTTTGAGCTCCTTAGGGCTACTTTAAACAGAGGACCCTTGTTAAGTGGACAGAGCATGACGCAGTGATACATACATGGGTCTGGCCCTGCCTGACATCCGGCCACTTAGCAGCTGTGTGACTCGGAATAATGAGGGCTTCGTTCCTATCTGTAGCATGGGAAGACCCACCTCTGAATTTTTAGGCCACCAAAGACCAAATGACAGAATGAATGTAAACAATCCAGCGCAGAGTGGGCACCAAACACATGTATGATGTGGGAGGAGTCACTGGGTGATGGCGTCTGAGATCTGAGTGCCATTTCTGCTGAAAATTCGAGCTTTCCTTAAATGGCAAAATAAAAGGCGTGCACAATATTTGGAAGCAGCTGACGAATCTGCCTGTACTAAAGCTTTCATTGTGCCTGAAGCACTCTTGCAGAGCAGCTGCTGACCTGTGGAAGCCTGTGTGTGTGTGTGTCCTGCCCCAGGCTCTGGTGGTGTTGGCCTTAGAAGCTGTGCGGCAGTGCAAGGACTTAAAGTGCTTTGCAAAGCCCCTGTGAAACACAGTTGGTTTTGAGCTTTAGCATTCTATCACATACATTTGATAATATGATTTAAATTAAAACTGGGTATAGTGAACAGAACTATGTATGAGAAGAACTTTAATCATTTTGTACTGAAGGTAAAAATGTACAGACAATGTAAATTTAAAGTCTTCAGTCCAGGGAACTCAGATCCAGGATTCCAGAAACTGAGTGCAGAATGAAAGAGAATACTGCACCCTTCACAGGCTCCAAAGAGCTTTGTAGGAAGATCAATGATGATGGTTACACTGACAGCTAGGGAACTCTCCTGCCTCCTGCTTGTGGATTACAAACTCCTTGTAGGAGCTCAGACTTGAGACTTCCAGGCAGCCCTGTGACAGCTGAGCTGGGCGGGAACGCCTTTACTCTTGAACAGCATTCAAAGCCCTTCAAGTTCAACCACAGACTGTGCAGGCAGGAGCCATGTATCTCACAGGTAGCCTTCTGACTGCCGCTGCCCTCCCCCTCGCACAGGATGCCCTCTGGGCTTTTATGGCAAGGACTGTGCACTGATATGCCAGTGCCAAAACGGAGCTGACTGCGACCACATCTCCGGACAGTGTACCTGCCGCACAGGGTTCATGGGATTGCACTGTGAGCAGAGTAAGTACGCACGTGGCATCTCCGGGCGCCTGGGCCACCTTCCTCACACGCCCAGACAGGCCAAGGCGGCATGACTGCGTCTTTTCTGAGCTGTTCGAGTGATGGTTAATCATCAGGACAGTTGGTTTCCCCTTCTCAAGATCTCCCCGATGGAATCCTAACTGACTTTCCTCCCAATCTCCAAATCCTTTCCTCCAAATTCGGAGTGAAAGGAATTCCACCTGACGCCCTGGATAGAAAGGGAGGAACTTTCAGAAGGAGGGCCAGTTCAAGTTTTTCATTACGTTTTTGCTGGCTTTTCCTCCCTCTCTTATTTTTGGAGTGTGCTTTCCTGGAGGGTTAACAGGGATGGCCAGTCTCCCTTCATGGCAGCAGTGAGGCCAGGCTTACACGGGAGGATAGAGCTGGTTGGGGAGAAGTGCTGGGGCCTGAGCCCCAGGAGCTGGCGTGGGAGTGAGCCAGGCAAATGTTGCCATATTTTTATGATATTTTTACTCTTTCCACTAACAAATTTTCTTAATCTTAATCTTCAAAACAACACAGTACCTTTACGTGGTTTTAGTCCCACTCAAGGAGAGTATGCTGGAGGGATTACCCATCTTCATTACTTCCCTATCCACCTCCAAGAGCTGTGCACCCACTTATGAGGTCACGGGGACATTAGCCTTAAACAGAGTATTTAAGATGAGCATCCTACTCTTTTCCTCCGTGGCTTTTGTGCAGTACGGAAGATGAAACTCTAAAGACCAGAGCTGCGTGTGGCACAGTCTCTGGCACTAAACGCCCCGAGGGAAGGCAAAATGAGAGGTCACCACCGACCACAGAGTGTATTCTTGGGAAGGTGGTTCCAAAGATGACGTCATGCAGACATAGCACAGCGCAGCCTGGAGAAGGGGGAGGAATTAGTATTCCTCCTCTCTGTTCCAGCCTTACCCTGTGCAGCTTACAGGTCTCAGCCTTAAGAGCTAACACATAGCATGTCTATGCAGAGCCTTCCTCCTGAAATGCAGAAAGAACCGCCAGGAGCCGCTTCAAGACAAAGGCACACAGTGTTAGGTTTGCGTCTGTTCCAGGTGACGGTTAAACAGATACCGCGTCACAGAAAATTGTACCGGTAGCAATCTCTACGAGTGTAAATACTGTCTATACCCGCTAAAGAGATCAGCACGGGCTCTAAACTGACTTGCATTCAACTGCCCGGCAACCAGTTAAGGTCTTACTAAGAAAAACCTCTTAAGTGCTTCCGTGATAGCTCTGAACATGGAATTAAAGTACCCCTGTTTTTGAAACCCGATCCCAACGCTCCTCCGAGTAAACAGGACTCCGTTTGCTAGAGGCTCTGTAGCGACAGCACATCGCCCCCTGCTGTTCACTTTGCAAACAACATCCGTGTTGAAGATTTTCAGATTTAAATTCCATGCACCCACAAGGTTCTTTTAAATTACAGCATATTTTAAGACTCGTACTGTGTTAGCCTCTGAGACTTCCACATGAAAAACCTATCCTTCAGTCATTCTATGTCAAATGAAACTCTGATCTAGAAAATAACCCAGACTGGCCCTACTTCCCACTAATCTGAGTGAGAACACGTCTTTAGGAGGAATCCTAGAACCTGCACAAAATATGTGCGTTCCGAAGGGATTATCTCTAGTTTACACTGTTCGGTGCGGTTCCCTCTGACCCGCAGACTTGACTGTGGGGGGGTCACATCAAATTGCTTCTCTTGGTTTTGTTTGTTCCACGAGGGTCCCACAAACCGTCTGCACGTGCATCGGGTCAGTGGGCACTCAGCAGGCGAATGTGTCAGGAGCTGAGCCGTAACGTCGGCTGGCTCAGTCCTGAGCAGCAAGCCTGTGAACCCTACCATGACTAGGACCGCCGCCACCTCGTACCTCGGATGGCACGGGCCTGAAAAGCAGGCACCTGCGGATAGGGTTCGCCTCCTGATAGGCAGAGCACGCCGAAGAAGACAGCCTCCCCCTCCCCGAGACTTGAGAAATACAGTGGCTCCCTCTCCTCTCCAGAATGCCCTGCGGGAACGTACGGCTACGGCTGTCGCCAGATCTGTGACTGTTTGAACAACTCCACCTGTGACCATATCACCGGCACCTGTTACTGTAGCCCGGGATGGAAAGGGGCGCGATGTGACCAAGGTAAGTACTGGCAAACAGCAGTGGTCTTCGTGGTCTTCGTGGCCACTGCGCACGCTCCATATCAAGTAGTTTCACTCACGCCATCTTGAATAAACCTCATTAAAACTCTGATGGCCTAGCTGGTTATTTATGTGCTTGAGAAAGGAATCCCATGTTTTTGGTGTCTTTAATAAACACATAAACCAGCTAAAGATGACAGAAGTTAGGCAGTGTCTTCAAGGTTTCATAGCCAGTGATCAGAATGTCACAGCTTTGATGCTATGCTTTTCTTATTCTAAAATCCATAAACTTTCTATTTTTAAAAGAAGATTTATATAGGCATAACTGGCATATGCAACCACACACATTTACTTTACACAATTTTCTGAAATCCAAAATCTGTGTATTTCGCGGAAGCAACCAGCACGATAAAGATAAAAATCCATCACTCTCATCTGTTTTCTCATGCCCTTCTCTGCCACCTCTTCCCCACAAAGCAGGCCACAATTGATCTTTCTGAACTGTTTGCAATTTTTCTAGAATTTCATGTGAGAAGGATAACATTGTGCTTTTTTTTTATGCCTAGTTTTGTCTAGTTACCGTAAGTACCTTGAAATTAAAATGTATGTGTAAGCAAATCCATAGTTCAGTTCTTTGGCTGCTGTGCAGTATTCCCCTGAAGAGATAAACCAGAATTTGTGGACGTCTGGACAGTTTTCAGTGTTTGGCTGCCACTGCTAAGGCCTGTGTGAACAGTGTGTGGAAGTCTCCACATGGCCTGTGCTTTCGTTTCTTTTGGGATGAATACTCCTGAGGAGAGTGATTGAATGGTAAAGCAGGCACATATTTAACTTTTAAAGAAATTCGTGTTGGAGTGTTGTTTTTGACTGGGGTGTGTATCGTAGCCATCTGGGATTATTTGTCAAATATGTTTTTCACGAAAGCATTTGGACAGCTCTGACCATCTAGGGCAGAGGGTCCTCTGAGAATGTTCTCCTGGTGGTTCTGAGTGGGACTTCCACCACAAATTTTGACTTTAATGAGTTAAGGTACAGATCTTGTTGCCAGGAACTATCAAGAGGAATCTTTCAGCTGTTGAAAATAGTTTTTCATAGGATAGTGTATCTAGCAGTAAGAGGTTCATTGGTCTAGGTTTATATTGGAGTTGTGTTGGTTTAGAAGGTACTAAGGATAAGTGAAAGACTGAGTTAGACAGGTGAGCATTTAGGACTTATTCCTATGTAAGAACAGTAGTAGATAATAAATAAAACAAAGCAAAAAATTAGATAAGTTGTTATCAAACCTTAATTGCCAGTCTGAGTTTAATTTGAAAGACATGAGTGACTGTCAACACTATGCCTGAATCTCAGGGTTCCTGCACTGTCTCTTGGTAGCTTAGAGGAGGGAATGGTGGCACCAACCACATTTGAAAATGAAGAGCGCCTGTGTTTCTACACTCTTGTTTCCCAATTAGTGTTTCGTGGACTGAGAACACCCAGGCCTTAGGCCTGTGGGAGCCTTTTTTGTTTTGTTTTGTTTTGTTTTGTTTTTTTGTTTTGTTTGGTTTTGTTTTGTTTTAATAGAGATGAACCCTTTACCTGGCTCACAGTCACCCACACTCTGTCTCCACCCTCTCCTAGCTGGTGTCATCATTGTGGGCAATCTGAACAGCTTAAGCCGGACCAGCACGGCCCTCCCTGCTGATTCCTACCAGATCGGCGCCATCGCAGGCATCGTCATCCTTGTCCTGGTTGTGCTCTTCCTGCTGGCGCTGTTTGTTATCTACAGACACAAGCAGAAGAGGAAGGAATCCAGCATGCCGGCGGTGACCTACACCCCTGCCATGAGGGTCATCAATGCAGATTATACCATTGCAGGTAGGGCCGCTGTGGGGGGAGGGAGGCAGGTCCTGGGTTCCCCTGCTTCTTTGGAATTTGGTGTCTGGCTGTGTGGCCATTGTGTCTGGCAGTTTCCCCTGATATGGCTGCACATTCAGAAGAGGTGTATGTGCCTAGAGTGAAATCATCATTTTCGTTTCGTTCAGAAGCTTTAGAAAAGGACATGTGTGCGTGCATGTGTGTGTGTGTGTGTGTGTGTGTGTGTGTGCGTGTGCGTGCGCGCGCATGCGTGTTTGCTTATGTGTATGCACGTGCTTGTGGAGGCCGGCAGAAGTGATCAGATCCCCGGGAGAGCTGGAGTTACAGATGGTTGGTGAGCTGCTCAGCATGGGTGCCTGGAATCTTGGAACTGAACCTGGTTCCTCTGGAGCAGTCAGCACTCCTAGCCACTGAGCCAGCTTTCCAGCCCTGCTGTGAGGAGTTTTAAATTGGGGTCAGTGAATGGTTGCTTTATATTTAGCCAACATAAGTCATGGATAGACTCTGCTGAACAGCCAGTCCCAAATTCTGTCATATACAAATGGGGAGGAGAGAGAGAGACGGCACATTTCCTGGTGTGTTTACTTCAGCTGGCATCCTCTATTCCTGTGCCTGCATGTATCAGTAACTGAAGAAAACTAAGTTATACAGGCCTGGGGTATACAGGCAAGAACCAAAACAGTCCATTATGAAACCTCTTTTGCATCTTCTCGCGGCAAGTCCCCAGTGGTGGCAGGGATGGAGGGTAGAGAGTGGGGAGGGATAATGACAACACACACAGTCAACCATCAAGAGGGGTAAACTCTTAAACTGAAGAAGCCGAAAAGCTTGCACAATAATTTCTTGAGAAATTACTGAAGGACCCTGACTATAGGCTTATCAATATCATGATTCTTGGAGAATATGCAAAATAGCCAATTTACATGAGAGCAATTTTCAGCGCAGAATTATTGGGCCAAGAAATCAAGGGTTTTTAAAAGAAGAGGATGGGTATAAATGTTGTAGTTTCAAATGATGCTATCCCTGTTTTTACAGGCCCCAGAGCTAAGAGCAGTCTTCCGTGGATGCATTCACAACTCTCAAGGAGTTGGTGCCTGCTCTTCTCGGGGCTTTGAAGAGCAGGCTGGGTAGGAGAGGAAAACATCTGTACTACCATTTTGGTTTAACCGTTCCCCCCTCTTTTTGCAGAAACCCTGCCCCACAGCAATGGTGGAAATGCCAACAGCCACTACTTCACCAATCCCAGTTACCACACACTTACCCAGTGTGCAACTTCCCCTCATGTCAACAACAGGGACAGGATGACCATTGCCAAGGTGAGAGAAAATGCCTCAAGGATTCGAAAGTGGGGAGGGGAGACAGACAAGGCACACACACTCATGATGGCTTGAAACTGCTGCTTTAGATACTTCCTGCCTCTTGCCCAGGATTGGGCAAGATTGGTGCCTCCTAATCTTGATGTCCTCTGAGTGTGTCTAAGCATCTTCAGAGGGCTCACCAAGGCCTAAGTGACAATGGCTTCCAGTCTCTTCCACTGATCTTGTGCATGTTAAGGTCTATCAACAACCCGCACTGTTTCTGTTCCACCTGGGAAAATGTTCCTAATCTCACATGAGATTAAAACGCTATCTCACGATGATGTCAATAAAAACATAAAGACCTATTGTGAAATCACCAAGTTTATCTCCTCTGGTCACCCGTGCTTCTGTGTCATGCCCAAGGTGCTCTGAGTTCCAAATATACCTTCCTGCTGTGTCCCACCTCTGTCCCCAGTCTCCATTATCTGGCTCACCACTGTCCAGATTTCAATTAGGGAAAGAAGGAACAGAACAAAAGATAAAGAAAAGACCAAGTTAATGAGTTTAATTCACTGTCATTACATTGACACTTCTGGGTTTTCACGGTGGCACCTCGGAGTTAAATAGAACCTCACATTCCCCAGATACTGTGTTCATCATGTCACTGTCATACGGCCTCCGACACTTGTGCTTATGCCTCCCAGAATGGTCAAGGCACTGGACACTCACAGCATCATGGAGACCTTGATGGAGCCTAGATTCAAAGTTCTTCCATCTAAAATTCTTCCTTTATAACCTGAGATGGGGTCTCTTTGACAAAAGGTGACAGTGTGAAATGAAGGCGTCCAGGTCATGGGGGAGGGGGTTCTGCCCTGAGGGACATGTGCTCGGCCTGCCAGGAACGGGTTACCTCATCTCTTTCTCAGCCTCATTGGAGGGAAGGCCTTGTCATGGACTCTGAACGTGTTTTCTGCCCTGTGTTCTCTTCCTGAATCTTCTTCTTACTTTTTTTTTTTTCATAGTCAAAAAACAACCAGCTGTTTGTGAATCTTAAAAATGTGAATCCAGGGAAGAGAGGTGCCTTGCTGGACTGCACCGGGACGTTGCCTGCTGACTGGAAGCAAGGCGGCTACCTCAATGAGCTTGGTGAGGCCCTCGAGTGCGCCCGCATACTTGACAGTCTACGCATTCATTCTGTTTCCTCTGTACTATTAACCACCCACCAGAAACAGGGAGCCAACCCAAATGATGAGTTAGGTCTAACACCTCTACTGGGCTCAGTACTAGCCTTCATGCCTTCTTTGTTTAACAAACACTTAGGGAGTTACCACATACTTCCAGGACCGCAGACAAGCATCTCTGCCCGCAGGTAGCTTCATCCACATGAATCCAGTTCCCACCAGCGCTCTGATACGTAGTCCTCCGCACTGTATGATGGTTGAACAAACGAACCAGAAAGACCTGGAGTAACTTACAAAAGCCCCAGTAACCTGTTTTAAAAACCTGTTAGAACTGACCTTTGAATACTTGTCGACTTTTGGCGTGATGTGGGATCCTCTTTGTCTTCTCTTGCTACTGAATGCCATGCTCAATGTCTCTCCCCCCTTTTCAGGTGAGGAAGCAGTCATAAGATTAGTTGTCCTCAAGCTTTTTGCAATCGGGATCTATTTATATTCTTAAAGATGTTTGAAGACCCCCGAAGGGCCCCTGCTGGTATAGGCTATCTATTTAGCGTATAGCATTTTGTGAAAAAGAAACCAAGACATTTTCAAAGTAGTTATTTTAGCTAATTTGTAATAGCACATCCTCCTCCTCCACCACCACCACCCCTGCAGATGTGCAAGAATAAAGCTGCCTCACAGCTTTATTTTCTGTCTGGCTTAATAGCAAATAGCCAAATTCTCCTATCTGCTTTGTAGCCAGTCAGTTGTGGAGCTCATACTGTCTAGCTTCAGGGAAACCTCACTGTACACTTGAAAGAGCTGTGGAATGACTGGCAAGTAATCCTGTTTTACCATGGAAACTGTTTTAATTTGGGGGATTCCCCTCATCAGGAAATGCGGTGCCGCTGAGCTCATGGTACTGTGTGCACTGCAGTTGTGTTAGATCCATTCTGTTGCTGTGGTTAAAAACCTTTAGCCAAAAGTACCTCAGGGGAGGAAAGGGTTTACTTCATCTTACAATGCCAGGTCACAGTTTAGAAATTAGGGCAGAAACCATGTTCTTCACCCTCTCTCCCCCTCCTGCCCCCCCTTTCTACGTCCTTCTCTTCCTTTCCCCCTTCTTTCTCTCTCTCCCTCTGCCCCTATCTTTTTTACACAGTTAGACTACCCGCCCAGAAATGGTACTGCTCGCAGTAAGCCAGGCACTCCTGCACCAAATTAGGAACCAATACAACCTCATGACCCTCACCATAGGTCAGTGTGGTCTAGACAATTCCACAATGAAGGCCTCCCTCTAAGGTGACTCACTCGTGAATCTTATTTCTAAAGATGTATAAATCAGAAGGCGCAGAGGCATCACAGAGGCTTCGGCAGAGCCCAGACCCGCAATTCTGTCTGACTGAAGCAGACAGAAAGGGAGTAAAGCTGAGTCTCGGAGTGGGCTGTCTGCCTGCCCTCTCCACGTCTTCTGTGGACTATATGCACGTGGAATTTCCCAAGATGCAGCAGGCAATGTCAATGGGCTCTGGAGCCCTTTTCTTGTACAAATGTTTCAGTAGAACAGTGAGTCAAAAACTTTTAACTCAGTGTGTCTTAAACAGTAAGATTACGTGTCAGGTTTACAATACAGGTCTAAATAACAATAGAGCCCAAAGAAGTATATGAATTGATAGTACTAAAGAGGAAATAAATTTTGTTTTGTTTTAACCTACTATAATTTGTCCTGATTTTGAAATACAAAACAGTCATGGTGTTGGCCATGTAAACATCTTTGCTTTCTGTCTCAGAGAGACCTAAGAGTTATTGCTATAGATTCTTCATGAGATGCTCAGGATTTTCTTGATTTATTTCTGCCTAAGAGCAATTAAGCACTTATACAGGAGGGATGAAAAAAAAGCATCTTTTTTTTTTGAAACACAAAAGCACAGTATGGATGATAAAGCATGTAGGTTTCCTTTTTCTTAAACAAAGGACGGGTTTTGTTTGTTCTTAGGTGTGTGCAGACACATGTGTGTGGGGGGGATGCCACAGGTGTGTTCCCCCAGAGACCAGAAAAGGGTGCCAGGCCCCCTAAACTGAGCGGTGTGAACTGTGAGCTGCCGGGTGTAGGTGCTGTGAGCTGAACTTGGGTTGTCTGGAAGAACAGCCAGTGCTCTCACTGACTGAGCCATCCCTCCTGCCCCTTGGAATAGTTGTTTTCCTGGTGTCTGAATGGTCCTTGCACTTGACACAAAAACCCCAGAGACTGGCGCTTTGTTGTCATATGGCCTGGAATGTACCCTCTTGCTCTCGTTTACTCATGATTAAAATGGAGGTGATAGGCATGTCCTGGCTTGTTGTCAGAATCAGATTAAACTGAGCGTTTGGAAGCCCCTTTCCTGGGGATTTGTACAAACAGGAGTTGTGAGGGAGTCGAGCCCACCTGCTCTCTTACTGAAACAGCTCCCGCACCCTCCAACGATAGGTGGGACCCTGGCCGAGTGGTCTTACAGCCACAAGAGTCTCCCCATTTTGGTCTAACCACACTGAAGTTCTGTCTAATGTCTGGGAAAAGGACATTGAGTCTAGACCCCGCCAGACTGTTAAGAAAAGTGTCTACAGTTTAGAGAGGAGCAGGAGAATTTTGTAGAGTACTGCAGTCACAGTCCTGTGACAGTGAAGTGGCTCTCAGAGGCGATGAGCTTTTCCCATCTGTGGTGTTATTCCGCCAAGTCTGTGAGCTCCCAAGACCACCCTTGCTTTTGACACCAATTGTAAGCACACAGGTCAGAAAGACAACAGGATGGATCAATAACTTAAAGAGTGATTCCCTGAACCCCCTAAATACCCTTGTAGCTATGGACTAGCAAAAGGGTAGGATTAAAGTCTATCAAGGGAAGAATTCAAGAATGGTTAGAGCATGATGCGGCCAATGGCTTTTTCCCACTCAGTTTTAGTTACTTCTGACTTTTCCTGGCATGATGTATGCCAATATTGCCAACTTGTGAAGCTCACCAGAGTGCTCATATCTAGGGTCCAGGGATTTGTCCTGTGGACATGATTGACTGCCCAAAGGGTTGTGCCCTTGCTTATTTCTATGCCCTCAAAAGGAAGGCTGATATGATATCCTCCCCTACTTGAATCGTCCTGCTGGTATGTCTAGCAGAGCTTCCATGCTGAACCTCTAGGAAAAAAAATATATTATTGTGCCGAATATCGCAAGATATTAGAGGTTGCCACCCAAGAGCTAAAGGCCAAGGTCAGACTTCTATTTCGCAAGGTTAATTTCTATTGCAAACTTTTTCACTCTGTCGCTCTAGAGCAGCGGTTCTCAACCTTCCTAACGCTGTGACTCTTTAATACAGTTCCTCATGTTGTGGTGACCCCGCAACCATAAAATTATTTTTATTGCTACTTCATGAGTAATTGCACTACTGTTATGAATCATAATATAAATATAATACAAAATGGTCTGAGGCAACCCCTGTAAACGGGGTCGTGACCCACAGGTTGAGAGCTGTTGCTCCGTAGACCCCTGAGCCTTTGCCAACAGTGTGAGATTGGGCTAGACTCTTGACAACAGAGACCCAAGAAAGTGTGCTTCAGAGAAGAAAATACTCCCATTTCCTGCCTGACAACAGTTGATATTAAACCATTTCCTTCAAGAGAGTCCCTCTCTTTTTATCCTCAAAGATCCCCATAGGACATTATCATCTAAATCTGAATCTAAGGGCACTAGAAGATAAAGGGCGGGGTTACATTCTTAAACACTCCATTTAAAAAAAAAATGAAAAAGATTTGGAAGGTTCACCACACAGCATTACTCTCTGCCTTTAACTAAGTCTTTAACATTGCTTTGAGGGATGATAAACAATGCCCCGAGATGCTTTAGAAGGGCTAGTGCTGATGCTATTATGACACTTTAAGCGAAATCCCACTCACTTACATGGTGCTTCAGAGTCTGCAGGCCTTTTAGAAACACGTTCTGCTTCATTTAATGGTGAAAACAGCTACATAAGGCCAGAGTGCAGATTTTGGAGTCCTCAGTTTAGAGAAGAGAAAACTGATCCTCAGAGCTAAGCATCCCCCCCAACACACACACACACACACACACACACACACACACACACACACACACA